TTCGTTGTGGTGGTGTTCTTGGTTTGCTGTTTTGGGGGGGGGGGGGGTGCAGCAGCCGAGACATTCTTTTGGGGAGGTCGGGGGCAAGAGAGGAGGAGGATGTCGAACGTGGAAGGCGAGGTTTATGCCTTAGCTCCCGAGTGGTGCAATAGGCTGTTCTTCCTTCTTTCTCTTATGGGGCCTGTTTCCTATCTCAATGCCTGCGATTTTGGTTCTCTTGACCCGTCAGTGTGGGTATGGAATGTGGGGGTGGTTCCTTCTTCGTGTTTGGCGAGAGTTAGCTCTACGTCTTGGTCATATCCTAGTCGTATGGTACCCAATAGCTTGTGAGTTCAGAAATTCGTTGCTGGGTAGAGGTCAGAACGACGCGTCAATACCAAGGCAATCATGAATACCAAATAGTACGTAAAATTTCCGACCACCCCGCCGTGGCTGGAGTCTCTGTTTCGTTGGATGTCGGCGCATGTACATCGGTAGGCCCTACCGACAGTCTTTCGATGCTGATACTCCTAGGCGGGTACCCCGTTGTGTCTGGCTGGTATCCAGCACGACCACGACTATTGATAAGAATCCGTGCAAGACGTGAGTGCCAGCCCCTAGTTACCCCAACGCCTCCTCGCCGCGCGCCAACGCCGCACCTTGTAAAAAATCTCCACGCCCCGAACCCTAATCCTTCGCCCCGGCGGCCACTGCTCCTCTAGCGGCGCCTTGGAGCAGTACTCCTCGAGAAGCTTCTTCACTAGCGCGTTCACATCTCGTGTGTCGCCATCGGCTGCAGCAGCAGGAGCAGCAGCACTATTCCGCCGCATTTTTTTCCTATCCTCTGGCGGCGGCGGAGGCCGCGAATTGGTGCCCCCCTGATGCTCGCGTGGTATCGCTGCTCTCGCCGCCGCCGCTTCGCTGTTGGGTCTTCGAGGGCGACTGACGTGGCCTTGTTGCGACGTCGACGGTGCTTTCTTCCGTCGTTGCCGCGGCGTGGTTCTCCTCTGTACTGTTGTTACAGTTTCGGTTTCATCCTCTCGCGAGGGTGGGGCTTGGACTGCCCCCTGCATGTTCGACGGGGGGAGGGTTTCCTGCAATGGAGGCCGGCGAGGGCGGGGGGGGGGGCGTACTCCCATGTTTTGCATGCCCTACCGGGTTAAACTATTGACCACAC